TTGGGCTTAACTGCACTGATACTCCATGCATCCTGCCTGTGCCTTCCCGTGCTTCCACCGTCTCAGGGGGCGAGGGGGCTTCTCCCCTGAGCCAGGGCAGCACTGACTGTGCCCGTTAACTGCTCTTTATTTCTGTGATGTGTCATGAGGCTGCCAGCCGGAACCACAGCCTGCCTATGAACTGGATCTGCGCTTGCAGAGCAGCACGGTGAGTGCCATCTACTGATAATTAAACACGCAGCAGCGCAGCGGAAGAGGCCGGTTCAGGCACCGACTCAGTGATACATCGCAACAGGCACGGACAGCGCTGCTCTGCATGGCTGCCAGCTCCGTGACATTACGGAGTCGTGGCAGCACTCTACTCGCAGGCTGCCAGGGCTGGCTTCTGCTGCAAGGTCGTTTCTTGAAGCTTCATCAAGCATCATTTCTTCAGGGATGTGCTGGGTGTTTTTGAAGCTGTGCTGATCTTTGCTGCAGTCTTCTGGGAAAATAATAAAAAAATCTTTGGCAGGATTAGGATTTGTAGAATATAAATGACCATTAATAAATTTTTAGTGTTAATGTAAGTGCTTGTATCAACTGGAAGCTGAATCGTTTAATCAGGCTAGCAGCAATTAAAATGGTAATTTTTTTCTGTACTAGATTCTGCTTGCAATTTTTACTGAAGTAAAACTCTTTGAAGTTAATTGGAATTTTGATTAAAGCCTCCTGGATCTGGGTCTCTGAATTTGTACTAAGGAAGGTTCAATATTTGCTTTGGTTTTCTGCACATGGAGTTCACTGCTATATATTAGTGTGACTGTACAATTAGTGGTAACAACTCCAATAAAGATTTCTGTAATCTAGTTCTTGATATACTTCAGAAAAGGTCTTTTATCACAGAATGGCTTTTAAGGAACTGCTAAACAGGTTGTAAGATCTGAAAAACTTGATTGATTAAATTGTTTGTCTTAATTATTTCCTATGAATGGCTTAGTAACATTCATTTAATGGTAATTCAGAACTTGGAACGGGGTGGGAGGGAGGGAGGTGTTCTTGCTCTTCGCCTTCAGGGTTCAGGTTTTGGTTGCCAATGCAAAAGAAAAAACCTACTCAAATTACATTATAATTATTAGTAGAAAGATAAGTAACTGTGGTGTAACTGCTTTAAAAAATAACATTTTTGTCCAAAATATTGCAAAAAAACCCAAACCAAATACTCTGCCAAAAATTAAAAAAAAAATCAAAATAAAACCCCCACAAAACCCTGACCAGACTGGCACGAGGCATTTTGTGAAAAGTACAACGAGCCCCAAGCAGCATGTTCTGGTACCAAAGGCACTCGAAGAGCCAGGGGAGTGTTGTCCTGACTTACACTAGTTTCACTTCACCTAGTACAGCCACATATGAGAATAAAGGCCTCCATGAAGGAGGAAGACTTGAATGGAAAAACTCCCCGGCAAACAAGGAATACTTATTTTTGTTGTGTCATGGGATTTGGCTGGAACTTTGCTGCATGTTGATGTCATTCTGTGGACACATTTCATCCCTCATCCTTCCAGACAAAGGAATGCTTTTCTGAAAGCTGCAACATAACTGGTGCAAATATTGCTTAAATTTCACTTGGGTCAGTTGCTGGTGTGGAAAAAGCAGAAAGAAAGAAGGGAATAATCAGGCAGAAATTGTACTGATAATACCAAGCATATGGGTTCTTATCATGTATCTCTGTTTATAACAAGAGGATTATACCTAGTGATCAAAATGCAGGACAATTTGTTTTGAGAACTCCTTTGGCAACTATTAACAAAGGTCCTTAAATATATATATATACACATATATTCTTGATCTTAAAGAGACATATATTAAATAATGAGTTGTAAATATCCTAGACTAAGAATTGCAACAGTTTATCACTAATTTAAATAATAATAACTTTGAAATTTTGTTGTGACTGTGGGTTTTATTTGTTTCTTTTATTTCATCCTAATGTGGTCATTGCAGCACAGTTTCTTCCATTTTCCAGTTTTACACTGCAACAAGCAGATACAAGTGTGAGGAAAACAAATAAAAACAGATCCTTGCAATTCAGAGAAGTGTTCTGATCTTTTGTCTCTACTTTTTCTGAAGATCTTAATTTTGAGAAACAAAGAAAATTTTACTTTAAGCATTTTTCTCTATTCCCTCTAAAACACAAAGAATATGAGAAAGGAAGGATTAAAAAGATCAAAGCTTTTATTATTAATTTTGCAATACAGTATAAAATACTTGAATATTCAACAGCTATGCTATAGTAACAAAACTATGTTATAAAATGCTAGTTCTGCTTAATGGTTATCCTAAGGGTCCTGATTCCCTGATAGTGGACTTTGAGTTCTTAAATGGCTGCAGCAAGGATAAGCATCATGCCAGTTACTCAATCCCAACCTGTGGACACAGTATGTTGTGTGAAAATGAACACTTTCAAACTAAATTACTAAAATTAACACACTTACTGTATAATATTTGCCATTTGTACAGTCAGGTTCACCCTGTCTCAGACTTTGCATTTGAACAGCACCCAGTGACACACAGTCACAGGAGAGGAGCAAGTGAGCACACTCCTGGGAGAAATGTAGTTATATATGTAGAAATAAGTCCCTGCTCTGATGTAAAAAACGACCTAGGAGACTTAAAAAAACGCAGTCTGTTGTTTAAAGCAGTTATTGGGAAGCAAAAGCACATTTCTGCATAGCACATTGGTGCACAAGGAAGCCTGAACACCTCACAGGTGTGAATGCCTGCTCATGATGTCCCTGTTTTCTTGTGCCCTACCCAAAATAGCCTTGGCCACTTCGAAGAGGTGGCCTGAGGTCCTGCTCATTCCATGAAACTAATAGCTACATATGTGCTACACACATAGAGCCCCTCGGCACTTGTAGAGGTCCACAGGCGCCCCCTGGACATGTCATCAGCCGGACCGATGCAGCTGGATTGATGCTGAAACCAGGACTGGTGATTTTTCTCTTTTCTCTTTCTTCTCTCTCTTTCTTTCTCTCTCTCTTTTCCTTCTCTCTCTCTTCTCCTTCTCTCCCTCTCCTTTTCTTTCTTTCTCTCTCTCTTTCTCTCTCCTTTCTCTTTCTCCCTCTTTTTGCTTTCTCTCTCTTTTCTTCCTCTTTTCTTCTTCTCTTTCTTCCTCTCCTTCTCTTTTCCTCTCCCTTTTCTTTCTCTTTCTTCCTCTCCTTCTCTTTTCCTCTCCCTTTTCTTTCTTTCTCTCCTTCTCTTTTCCTCTCCCTTTTCTTTCGCTTTCTTCCTCTCCTTCTCTTTTTCTTTCTCTCTCTCTTTCTCTTTTTCTCTCCTTTATTCTTTCTCTCTCTTTCAATTTCTTTCTTTTCTTTCTCTTTTTCTCTCTTTTATTCTTTCTCTCATTTCCTTCTCTTTTTCCCTTTTTTCTTTCTCTCTCTCTCTTTCAATTTCTTTCTTTTCTTTCTCTTTTTCTCTTTTATTCTTTCTCTCATTTCTTTCTCTTTTTCTCTTTTTTCTTTCTCTCTTTCTCTCTTTTCCTTCTCTCTCTTTCTCTTTCTTTCTTTTCTTTCTCTTTTTCTCTCTTTTATTCTTCCATTTCTTTCTCTTTTTTCTTTCTCTTTTTTCTTTCTCTCATTTCTTTCTCTTTTTTCTTTCTCTCTTTCTCTCTCTTTCTCTTTCTTTTTCTTTCTCTTTTTCTCTCTTTT